GTTCATGGGGTCACGGAGAGTCGGACACGACTTAACGACTAAACAACAACAACAACAACCATGTAAAGCTTCATATACCACCATGAGCATCCTAACCTGAGTTCAGAATGCAATCAGCAACCAGTGAAGTTGTTTCAGAAAGGGGGTAGAGGTGGGGGTAATGTAGACCATGAGGAAATAATTTTCACTGCTAAAATGTACTGCTACATTTTAGGCCAGTTACAATTTCCAGATCACCTATAAAGGTAAAGAATCCATTGTGATACCACATTCTGGCAGCGTTTTCAGAATATGAGTCACTGAAGCCAGATCTCTCTTCTCCAGATAGGGATGCCCCTGCATTCTTCATCAAAGCTAATAAAAGTGTGCCCTCCTCACAGATACTATTTACCTGCCCAGTCTTAGTGTTGGATCCAGACATGCTCCTTAAGAAGGAGTGCAATGACACCCAGAACAGGTATATCTTCTGGATCCTGGAAATCAGCCCCCAGAATCAACAGAGTGATAACTCTGTTTGTTCCATCTGAATACAGCTTCAGCTTATTCTCCCTGACCCTTTACAGCTTGAAGGTGTGTGAAGGGTCTGGGATCACCTAAACCTGCATTTGCAAGAAAGGAGAAGTATAACTGAGTGTCATCAGCTTTGATCATTGATGGCAACTAGACCTTAGAATTAGCTTTCCCAGCAGCTTCCTATATATGTACTATAATCATTTTAAAACCACCAACATGAAATTCTTAACATTTTAAAATGCCTAGGTGAGAAAATATGGTTTAACCCTGCTCCTGAACTGTAATAAGCAGGCGAATGCTTGCCTCAGCTCCAGCAGTAGTTTGTTCTACAATGAAGACCTCCTCAAAGAAAAAAGAGAATTTATGGTTGATGGTAGATGTAGCTGTGGTGAGGCCTGCAAATGGTGCCAGATTGATGATCTTTGCAGTTATCTAGGTCTGTGCTACAGAATCCACCAAGTTTCTGGCCTAAGGCAGACTTCTTTTAATCGCTGTTCAGAGCCATGTTTTGATATCTACAGTTACAGGGAACTCTGCCACATGACAGTCTGCCCAATTTGCAGCTCATTCTTGACATGCCCTGGACCAAACCCCCAGTTCCTCTGTTTCAAATTTGCTATCTGCTGCTGCAGCTTGTGCATATCCAGGAATAGCATTTTCAACCAATCAGAACTAGCTGAGTGTTGAGTATGGAAATTGGTCAGCCACTACTTCATTCCTTCTGTCCCCACCACCACTTCCAGTACTCCATGATTTATTAAATCAGCTATTCCCCCAATCTTATATTAAAAACCAAACCACTTCTACTGCCCCTTCCCAAGCATATATGTCGTGATGCCTGTGGGTTTTGCAAACTGTCCTGCCCTCATGAGGCTTTTCCTCAAATTCAGCTGGTAGAGATGTGAATCAGGAAGTGGGGGGGGGCGCAGGGGAGCATCCAGAAGTCTGATCAATTCCAAAACAAACATCCACAGGCAATGGATGGAACTGCAGGAACATGAATCTCATTAACGTCCAATGTGTCTGTGAAAATAACCAAGGGGAGGGGTTTTAGGAGAAAGAACAAAATAGTTTATGGGTGGTCTTCATCAACCCTTCGAACTTACAAAAGTGCTGAACAAGTGGTATTTATGACCAGTGCTCGGACTTACGTCGGTCACAGCATCCCCACAGTCATGCAATTATGATCCAGGCGGTTGTCACCCAGTTCACAATTACAACATTGCAGCATCCCACGGTCATGCAATCACCATTTGTGACCTTCTTTGCTGGCTTCCTACAAGCAAAGTCAATGGGGAAGCCGGTAGGAGGTAGCAAATGGCAACCACATGATATCCCCACTTAACAATCTGTGGTGATTTGCTTAACAACAGCAACTAGAAGTGCTGGAATTTCCATCGCTAAGCAGCACAGTCACATGAGGTCACACTTTACGACCGCATCACTTAGCGATAGAAATTCCAGTCCCAATTACCATTGTTAAGCAAGGACTACCTGTATTTACTGAAAATGTTTCTAGCCCAGCCACTAACTAGAGGATCTCTTGGCTGTTTACAATCCACAAAACAGAGCACAAAAACTGATTAAAATGAGCAAAAAGTGCTATTTTGCCTCCAGGAGAAGGACATCCCACAGTTGGGATGCCACAGCAGAGAAAGTTCTCCTCCACATTGTCCCCGAACTGTAGGACATTGAAACTACCACCCCCTCCCAACACACGCACACTTGTAGATCTTAATATTTGGACAGGTACATACTGGGAGAGACACCCTTCAAGGATCAGGGTCCTAATTTATTAAGGGCCTTGAATGCCACTGTTAAAACCAGGAAACAAACTTGAGATGCCTCCTACTAATACGATACCCACTCCTTACCTTCCTGGGGCTGCTGCTTTAGAACCCAAAATCTCTAGACCCAAGCTTGACTTCTGATGACCTGGTTTCTCATTTCTGTTACAGGAAAAAGCTATGTGAACCTCACAGAAACTGGAAAGCTGATGTTGCTTGGTTTCAAGGAGCGCATGTCTGGATCTTATATGTGCACACTTTCTTACAGAGTTTTTCGAAATGACATGCAAGCAGAAGAAGAAAGATTCAAGACGTATAAATTTATGGTTTATGGTAAGAGAAACAAACTCTATCCTTACTCTGCCCTACTCTAGGCTGGGCCTACTTGCTCCTCATTGGGGCTGAATTAGGCGAATCTGAGCTTCAGATCCAAATAAAAAACAAACATTTTAAAAAGTTTGGATGTTCAAAATATCTTTTCACCTGTAGTCTCCTAAAAGAAACAATTTAAAACAGAGTATTCCATTAGACATGCAATAGAATTTTAATTGTATGAAAATTGGTAAATATTATGTTAGAAGTTGAAAGATTCACAGTGCAAACATAAATAGTCACATAAATGCTCTAATAAAAACTTTACCGGTTTCTATCTTTCTTTCCTGCACTGGAAAAGATCTGTAGGCAATATTTTTTTCTGCTATGAGTTGGAAAATAATTTGGGGGCAAATGAAGAGGTTGGTTGCTATGAACATTTAAACTTCAGGCAAAATATTCAGTAGGAAGGACTTCCTCCAGCCCACTCACAGAGCTTTGGGGGCAACTCAACATGATGGAAATATCTCCCAGTGTCTTTCTTATTCTTGCTTTTTACCTTATTATGTCCATGTAGGAGTCTGAATTTGATTGGAACAATTGTATCAGAGAAAGAGGGTGCTTAGTTTTTTCCCCGTGGGCCACTTTTCTGATCAAAAGAATCTCTCCCCTCTAAATACGTTCACAAATGCCTATGCATTTTTTCCATTATAGTGAGTAAATAGCTGAAGGGATTCTAACAGAACAAATATTCCGCTAGCATAATATTGAAAAGGTCTCTTCTTCTGTCCCAACCTTCTCATAATTGTTTTAATCCAATTAAGAAACCTCTCTCTCCTTTTTCTTCCCAAGGTCAAAAAACAATTCTAGGACATCTTGTTTACCCTTAAAATGCATACAGTAGTCTACATGGTGGGGAAGGGGAATGGACAACATGGAGCCATGTTGCCACTAGATGGCACCCACTAACCTCCAAAATAAAAATGCCCAAAATCTCAACAGTTAAATCTTTTACAATATGTTTCCTGTGAAACTGTACTATTTTGGGTTTCTTAATTTTTAATTTTAAAAAGTGTGTATGTGATCCCTTCAAGAAAAGATTATTATTCCATCCTATATGATACCAGTGTTTACACTACACCCTAAATCTGTTAACCGGTTAACAAAACCCACTTGGTGGATTCCTATAACATGTTATATCCCATTAAATGTGATAGCCTGATTAACACAATGCTAAGAAAATGACTTGGTTTCCCACAGTACGCTGTACCAAAAAATGGATCAATCCCATTTTCACCTACAGTCGTCTAGCATTTTGCCGGACTCTAAACAGTTTATACTATTTCACATTGTATTAAAAACAATGCTAATGTCTTCAGTTGTTCCAAAATTATGATCCTCCATTAACTCATACCTTCAGCAGGTTTTTAGTTGGTCCCTGCTGGCTGGGGAATTCTGGGGGTTGAAGTCCACACCTCTTAAAGTTGCTGAGGTTGAGAAACACTGGGCTAGGTAACAATTACACCTTCAGTGAAGGACCTGTTTTTAGATTTCTTCTCTCTTTTGCTACAACTACATGCTAGCCCAAATATCCTATGAAATATGTACATTCAAGTAGCAAGCAGAAATATACAGACAGACACAGACACTATGGAGAGATTCTGTCCCCATCCACCCCCTGCCTTGATAAACTGTGAGAAAAAGAAAATACTGGCCACACTATTGGAACAACTATCCTGAAGTCCAGTTGTGGCATATTCATGGACTTCAATTCATCAGTTTGTCAGAAAGATTGTTGATACTTTGAAAGCACACATTCTCAGGGAGAATGCTCTAGATTTTTATCTGATATAGAATTCCTATGGAGTCCTTGGGGTTCTCTGAGCTTGGTTCTTTCCTTGCAGATGTTTCGTTACCCAGCTAGGTAACATCTTCAGTGCCCCACTGAAACATCTGCAAGGAAACAACCAAGCTCAGAGAACCCCAAGGACTCCACAGTTCAACCCTGAGCTACACATATTCGCCTCTATTGATAGAATTCCTGATTTGTGTCAATACTTTATAAACTAAGAGATGAACAACAATATATTACATTCCCTGCCACTTACATTTTCATATATTTCCTTCCTCTTCCCACCTTTTGAAGCATATCGAGAACCAGACTATACTTATCGTATATCTGTTCACTTTACAACCAAAGAGTGCAAACTAGCAGCTAATGGACAATTCTTTGAAGAACTAAAGAAAATCTTGAATAATCTGCTTGCTTATCTGAAATGCCACGTTGTCAATCCATCATACAGGTGTTTTCATGTCAAGCGACCCAAACATGGATTGGTAGATGAACTGTTCATTGTTTTTCAAGGTAATATAAAAGTGAAAGGGTTTTTTTTGCCATCATGGTCTTTGTTTATTTGAAGAAGGTAATGGGACCTGTGGGGAGCTGAACTGTGTAAAAAGAGTCCCTGATCCATATAACGATGATTTCAGTGCCTTTCTTACTGATAGTATAATCTCACCAAATCACAATCCCTTTAATCTGGTTCTGTGTTCTTGCAAACATCAGACTTTATCCATTTGATGCAGACCTGGCTGCTCTCATTTTGGTTTCTGAAATGAGCCATACTAGTTCTCCCCCTTGAAAATGCCATGTTTGGCCCCAAAATATCTTCTCCTGAATTCAATACACAGAAAGGTTTGCTATGGATAATCAGTGGAGAACAAAGAATAGAAAGGGAGCTCTCTAAATCTTGATTTTATTCAGCATCAGCAAAAATTCTTAGATGTATTGAAAGCTCAGCTGAAAGATGGAGTTGTTGCATTTCTGAGATGAGGTGATGGTATGAATAATCTGTATCGTGAGTTGGGTATGCACCGTGAATTCACTGCAATGTTTTTGGCACAGAAACATTGGGAAATATTTCCTCAGTGAGTGACGTTTGACGGTCACTGTGATCGGACACTGGTAAAAATGCTTTCAGCTGCTGTCCATGGTACCCAGTAAGGTAAAACTGGAGTCAGACATGTGTTCTCTTCCTGCTTTCTTCTGCTTTCACTATAAAAATTTACTGTGGGTGTTTTGGCCTGGCTAACTCAGTGATGGAGCTCCATTACAGGTTATAACTCTTTTGAATTAATTGTTCTTTCCTGGGAACAGCTCTACATAAGGCGGAGTTGTTATAGCCCCAGAAAAAAGCCTTTGTGGCCGAAATCATAAATCCATACAATTGTGAGTCCCATTTCAATGCCCAGGATTTAATTCTTTACTAAATTTAGGCACAATTCATAGAGGAGTATATTTTTATCTGCAAATGTTTGTCTCTTTTTGTCAGTAAATCCATTTGCCCCTGGCTGGGAAGTTATTTGCCGCCAAATCACCTCTGACTGTGAAGACGTTACCAACAACCATGTTCAAAAGGTCAGAGGTTTTTTCAGACTTTTTCAGACTGGCATGTTTCTGGACACTCCAAATACCAAACAGTTTAGAAGGTGACAAACTGTGCACTGTGGTTGCCAGAACTTGCCTCAGCCCCCTGGAATCTCCCTGCAGATTTAATTATCCAACTTTAGCAGCAAAATGCAGAATCAATAGTGCAATTTGGGGGGAGGGGGAGTTTGGGGTACCAAAGCATAGAGACCACTGAAACCTCAACAATTAAATAACCAAATCCCACCAACTAAAAAAGAGAAAAATGTTTAACCCTATCCCCCTCAATGACACTGATGCATCAGCACAATTGCTCCACATCCCTCAGAGTCTGAAAATTAAAATAAAATTAAGTCTTCCTCAGCCCAATAAGCTGTGTCCCTGCCAAAACAGACACAGTAATTAAAAATTATATACTTCAGCACACAATGAAGTGTCATAATCATTTTCTTCAGTGTTACTAAATTAGATTGGGGACCAGGTTGCAGGTCATTTTTCCATAAAAACTCATAAATAACAATAAAATCTGACCCCAGAAAAGGGGTCCACTCTCTCACTGACTGTTTTAATCCGCTTTCAGAATACCAACAAGATTTATGCCAACCTGGCCTCTGGGACCGTCCATAACACAGAGCAGATGCCATCACCCAGAAACACTGCTTCTGGGCCCCCGCCCCCCACCCACCACTATCTCCCCAAACTGAGAGGCAGCTTATAGTTTCTCACATAAGGAATATATCAGATTGTTCAATTCCACTTAGAAGAGGTACCCAAGAGTACAGTAGCTGGGGGCCAAGCCATCTAGGCCCTTTGGGGTTAAAATCAGCCCTTTGAATCACAAACAAACAAACAAACAAACCTGGTAACCTATTGGAAACCAATGCAGGGAATGGGCTCCAGCATTTTCTTCTTCCAGTGGTAGCATCCCCTGAGTGCAGTTCCCC